TTAATAATTTGCTGTGGAAATCATGTTCTACTTCTTTTGGCTCTAGTTTACGGAACGGTACAGAAAGTTCTTTTGTCTCTAGTTTACGGAACGATACAGAAGGTTCTTTTGTCTCTAGTTTACGGAACGATACAGAAAGTTCTTTTGTCTCTAGTTTACGGAACGGTACAGAAAGTTCTTTTGTCTTCGGTTTACGGAACGGTACAGAAAGATCTTTTGTCTCTAGTTTACGGAACGATACAGAAAGTTCTTTTGTCTCTTGTTTACGGAACGGTACAGAAAGTCATATTGTCTCTGGTTTACGGAACGATACAGAAAGTTCTTTTGTCTCTAGTTTACGGAACGTAACAGAAAGCTATCTTGTCTCTGGTTTACGGAACGATACAGAAAGTTCTTTTGTCTTTCGTTTACGGAACGGTACCGAAATTTCTTTTGTCTCTAGTTTACGGATGCATGCGTAACGTTATTATGTCTCTTGTTTACGGAACGGTACAGAAAGTTCTTTTGTCTCTAGTTTACGGAACGGTACGAAACAGTACAGAACGGTACAGATGTGAAACTTGGCCAACAACTCTGTCCCCCTTACGTCATAAACATTCTGCATAATTTCGATTGACCAGCAATGTAAGTGACCATGCTGATCTGTCATTTCAAATCAGAAGCTAACACAAAGATGGTGCATGATGTAACTTCCTTTTAAACAGAGTGCGTGTTAACAACAGTGCAGGCGTGGATTAAAATTTTCTCAACTTTTGACGTAATTAATTTGAGTAGCCATTCAATAAGAACTTTGTTTGTGTGTCCATTCATACCAATTGGCATTTCGTTACACGTCCTAAAGTTTGCTAAAAGAATACCGTAGTTTCTGTGTACAGTTTCAACATAATCTAGGGATAATTTCCATCAAACGCTCCTCTAAAATTTAGAAATTATATTTATAATTTAAACATATAAAAAAGTATTTAAAAAGTGTCTTGGGGTATGTATCAAAGTTTGAAGATCCTAAAAAAGGATATCAAGGTTGATGATATGGGCCGTTTTGGTGTTGGGGGAGGTGAGATGAGGAATGTGCACTACGTGATTATAAAGGTTTAGGAATAAAGAGAATTGCCAGTGCTTTGGCCAATACGTCCACGACGATACACAGAAGCATGAATTAATGCATTGATGGGGTGATGTGGAGAGGATGAGGCACATACAGTATCCGTTCATTTCAGAGCGTAATACAGCACATATCTCCTTCACTACCTGATCCGATGTACTTCCCTCTCTGGGAGGAGGGTGGGAGATAGATGTGAGAGGGTGTAGGTGCCACTAATATTAGGAACCACCTCTGACCTCAGACATAATATGCAAACCGGAACAAGCAGAAGCAATTACGATTTATTAATAATTTTTTAATAGTTTTATTTTTTGTGTTGGGGGGGGGGGGGGGTTTTGGTTTTTATTATACACATTTTTGTTTTTTTTTTTGTGGTGGGGGGGGGGGGGGTGACTGTGGTTTCTAATAAACACATTTATTGGTGTCTTTTTAAAACTTTAAATTCATTTAAACTCTACCTAAATGTATAGTTTCTGTGGGAATATTCCATTGAATACTACTTAAATGTCTTGTTTCTGGGGGAGTATTCCATTTTTCGGTTTGGAAAATATATTAAAAAAAGTGTTACATTTTAAACTTAATATTTAATATCTACGGATGGAAAGGTGGATGACAGTTATAAAAAGTGTTCTTTTTTCTTTTTTCAGAGTATGACTAAGGGTCCGTCCATAAAGTACGTCACGCTATTTTTTTACCATTTCTTCTTCTTCTTCTTCTATATCTTAAGGGCCCACGATCAATTTATTGATCATTTTGGCTCCTATATCATTTTTAGCCCCCCCTCCCCCTGTCACAAACTGTCACAAATCTTGGACTCCCCCCCTCCCTAAAGTACGTCACAATTTCGATCACATTTTTTAAAAATTAACACCTAATTAAACTTTAATCTAAAACACACTTCACTATTAAACTGTATTAAAATATAAAATCTCCACTTAAAAGAACTATCACATTATTAAAATGAGCTTGTTACAGTTTTTTCATATATTGAAGTGCTCAGTCAACTGCGGATGTGTTTGTCCGTGAAAGTTGGGGATAGTGGGGCAAAAAGCTTGACCTGCCCCAGGGGCCATCAACCCTAGCTACGAAAATGCCCCCAGCCTTCACTCCGTCAAAACGCCATCACAAATTCTCCCCTGCACCGATCACAACACCATCGTAGATGACTTGATATCACAGGGCGAGGTCACACACTCCCCCCCTCCCCAGGCTTCCACGTCCAACTTAACTCCTAAATCTTCCACACAAATTCTCCCTCTCCCCACCCATTGCCCCAAAACCTCATCTCTTTCGAAACCTAACTCTCTCCACTTCCCCGAACTTAACAATGAGACATCCCCTCCGTTCCTCATTACCGGCTCCCCTCTAGTCACTAATACATGTCAGTCTCCAAACTCTGCTGGGTCTCCACTCTCTGCTGGGTCGTACATCATAATTATTTAACCTGAATTATATTCTATTAATACTATAATGTTTCTTCCATTTACTCAACGATCTGCGCATGCGCGAACACAAAGCTAAACATAACAATTAAAACATTTCCGCAAAGAACGATTATAATAAGAAATTTAAAACAAAAATTTCATTTCATTTATCAAAAAAAAAATTAAATATAAGTTTAAACACTAGCAAATCATTGGTTACATTACATAGCATAGCAATAATATACTTAACGCAACATAATGCTACAAAGTATGACTGTTAAAATATTTTGCATTTAACTAAATTAAATGCAGCATTAAAGACATGCTCATACATACGAATACACAAAGAAAATTTGTGGGATGCAAAATACGTTTCATATTTATCCGGGTTTAAAAATCTCAGACCCCCCCCCCCCCCCCCCCCCCCCNGTAAACGACACAAAACAAAACAATTATACAAACAAAAAACACAAGCAAACAGAGAAACAAACAGGAAAAGGGACAATGTGTTACGGATGGTAACAGTGTGTCGCTGTAAAGAAAGTCCCATAGTAAGTGTTATTATAAACACAGCCCATAGTAACTGCGTGTTGCAATAAAGATAGCCGTAGAGTAGCAGTGTTTTGCTGTAAAGACGGCCCTACAGTAACAGCGTGTTGCTGTAAAGACAGCCCTGCAGTAACAGCGTGTTGCTGTAAAGACAGCCCTACAGTAACAGTGTGTTGCTGTAAAGACAGTCCTAAAGTAGCAGTGTGTTGCTGTAAAGACAACCCTATAGTAACAGCGTGTTACTGTACAGACAGCCCTACAGTAACAGCGTGTTGCTGTAAAGACAGCCCAGCCCGGCGCGAGTCTGTAGAGCACTCAAAGATAAAGTAACCTTTATCAAATTTTCTGTGTTTCTCCAAGTGGTCAAGTGAAATATCTCCATTTTAACATCCTATACCAATGAAGCTCTTTCACTCACAGAGTGGCAAAGAAATAGCTACAGGATTTTTAAATTTTCATCATGCAATTTCCAGAATTATTTTTGTCACTGGTTTGATAACCGCACTGTTGTTCATAGGTATTAATAAATGTAACCCACTACGTCACTGGTTTGAGACCCAGGCTGTTGACCTTACAGGTATTAATAAATGTAACCCACTACGTCACTGGTTTGAGACCCAGGCTGTTGACCCTACAGGTATCAATGAATGTAACCCACTACGTCATTGGTTTGATGACCCGACTGTTGACCTTACAGATTCAATAAATGTAACCCACTACGTCATTTGTTTGATAACCAGGCTGTTGACCTTACAGGTATCAATAAATATAACCCACTACGTCACTGGTTTGATAACCAGACTGTTGACCATACGCATGCATAAATGTAACCCTCTACGTCACTGCTGTTTTGCCTTCCTGAGAAATACCCCACCGTCAAGACTTTTCTTATCAGAAAACACGTGTAGGGCAGGCCAATGTGGCGTGTTGTGTGACTCAGTCTGCCAGGTTGACAGACGGGGATTTCTGGATGAGTGGCGTAAACAGATAATTGGGTGGAAGATGAGACAAACACACCTCGGCTAGACACACCTTTCTAGTCTGTCTTTCTCAGTAAAGAGTATCATGACCCTATGATTGACGCCCACATCCTGCTAAGGTCTGTAACTCGGCCACTGTAAAAATCTTTGAACTTTTTAATTTACATCTCTTATAGAGGATACTATTTAGCCATACCTGGTAACCTCATTAACCCCTTACATGGTAGCCACTTTAACACCTTAAATGGTAGCCACTTTCAACCAGCTTAGATTCCCATGTTCTCCTTTAACCAGAAGATGACAAGTAAATATATTATGCACAAAACAGATTTATCTGTATGATGTTGACCAGTCATGGACCAAACATTGACAACTCGATACCAGATGAAAACACGGAAATGGTGAAAAGATTAACATTTAGGCCTTCGTAAAAAACAAAGAACATATATTTAACATTAATAAAAAAAATATACAAAATTTTAAAAAATGAAATAATATTTCAAAAAAATATTTTTATTTACATGTCAATAAATAACTATATTGACACACTGAACTGACTTAATGGCATCTGAAAAAAAGAAAAAAAAGAAGACAAATTCTATTATATTTAAAATGATGTTTGAAAAATCTGCTGGGATAGCAAACCATTGATGCCCACTGTTTTTTAAAAAATGTGTTTGAAATACTGATCACTTTGTAAAAGAAGAAGCTTTATGGCCACCCTAAAGACTGTCCTCCTCTTCCATAATTTGTGGGATACTATACATTCCACAGTTATTTTTTCTTAAAATGTTATAATTAGTAACTATATATGCTATGAAAAATATAGTTTCTTTAAATATTGCAAATGTAAAGTGAAGAAATAAATTATATCCATGAAGACAGCAAAGACAAGATGGTTCCTGCGCACAATGCTTATAAACAAAATGGTGAAATTAAAATGTACAACGAGCAGTTATTTCGACTGCCACTGGCAGCCGTCAATAACTGTCACAACAAATGAAATATGAGAAATAAAATTTGATAATCATTTAGAAGCACGGTATTGAAATGCATGTAGATATTTAAAAAGTAATAAATTATGTTGGGATAGGTCGGTGGTCGGCAAACTCATTAGAGAAAAAGAGCTAAAAACTCAGCAGCAAGACGATTATAAATTTTTGAGAGCCAAATTTCTTTTCAAGAACCTGTCAAGAGCCATATTTTTCAGAGTCAAAACCGATTACTGGTCGGCTGACAGAGCCGCACTCAGGTTGCTAAAGAGCCGCATGCGGCTTGCCAGCTGCCATTTGCCAACCACTGGAATAGTTTATCACTAAAAACAAGTAACCATTAAAACATAGGTAGATAATTCATGATGGTAATAAGTCACCTAAACAAAAATTATGACATAAATTTAACAACAATAAACAGAATAAAAACAGTAGTGACATCCCTTTGTGATTGGGGGAGGTGTTCAAGACCTCTGTAGTGGTGGGGTCAAAGGGCAACTGACCACCTGAAACATAGATATAGTGACAGTAAAGATATGACCGAACAGCAAAGTTGGTGTCTCAAATAAATTTTTATAGTATAAACTCCAAGAAACTCATTTTAATTTACCATTGGGTAAATATCTGTTTGGTTTGGGTGGGGAGGGGGGGGTGGAGGGGGTGGTAATACTGCAAAACTATTTTGTAGAAATCAATGTTTTTACGTTTTATAAATATTCTTTTATTCACTTTGATTGATTATTGACTAGGCTGAGGGAGAAAATAAACTTGAAATTATTGATTGACTAGGAATCCAGTGGCATTATTTTCCAAAACCTTTCCTATTAATATAAAAAAAATTAACTGGGAAACTTCAATGGGTCTTTTAGTTTCAAGTTAAGGGAGATGACTCTTTGCATCAAAATGGTTTTTTGTTAAGGGTAAAGTAAATTTACTTTACACTGGTAGCACCCTTTGCAGATGAAAAAATACTTGTAATGCTTCAATTTACAATGGATTGTGTGGCATTAATGGGTCAATCTGTGGCCAGCTCACCTAATGTAAAGTAAACACTGGGACTCTTCCTTCCATCCCCACCGATGCTGTATCCCAGAACTCTGACTTCGTAGATGACATCTGGTTGGATACCGTGCAGCACTCCTGTCCCTGTCTTGTCAAACACCTCAATTTTGGCTGACCTGATGTCTTCCCTGGTATCCCACCACCAGGCCTGCAAGTGTCAAGAAATTTTTAAATTTTCATGGACTTTTGATGGGTTTCTTAAAATGATTTTGCCCAACTGCTAAAAATTGTTTAAAGTATAATAAAATGTATTAACTTAATCATGAAATTCCTACATTTTATATATAAATTTGAGCATTTGGAATAAGAGACATATTTATGACAAAAATATTTTATGAATTTATTCATAAATAGTTAATATTGTTATAGTAAAAAACACATAAATGGCTTATTCTACTCTCAAATTTGTATACACCTGAAACAGTTTTATACTGACCATGACATTATTTGAGTTTTAAATTGATAAATAAATTATTTATTCTTAAATGACCATCAGCATGTTTAAGAAGATGAGCTTTTTCTCTTTAGTTGAAAATAGCTGACAAAGTAGGTCAGTTAAGTTCAATAACTCTGGAGACTACAAAGTCTTACCTTATATCCCACAATATGCTCTTCACCAACATGGACGGAGACTCCTCGCCATTCAATTCGGACACTGTCATTACCATGGGACATGACGGTGACATACTCTGGGTATAGCCCGGGTGCTGAGACAAAAAATGTGTAAATTAATAGTTTCACAGTACAGGTATTCTTTAATCAAAGTGCACACATCAAACCAATATTTTAAAAATTATTTTTATTTTAGTGAAGTCAGAGGGAAACCATGACATTTTTTGTGGGAAAAGGGGAAGGGGGGGTGAGGGGGAGTCAGGGGGTGGAGTTGAGGGGGGAAAATACCAAGGAATTTGACTCACCTGTTACATCTCTAAATACATTTTTATTAAATGATGTTATGATTTTGAAAAAGAATAAAATAAAAATCATATTTTTAAATAGACAATTTTTGAAACTTCTGCCAACTATTTATTTAAAAAAAATATGTCTATATTTTAACACTTTATAATCACTTCAACAAAAAATAACTTTAAACAAATTTAAAAAAAAAATTATTTCAGATAGACATGTTCATTTAATTTAAAAATATTTTTTAATGTAAATTTGACTTAACTTGGAGACTACAGGATTTTTGAAGTTCCAGCTTTTAAGACCAAAACTGTTTTATATTTTGAACCACCCTTGCAAGCTTGAAGGACTAACAAAAGATTTTTTTATAAATTGTTGACCCTTACCTCTAAGGTTCAAGTTAAAGTTGTAATTATCTGTCTTAGGTCCCATGCCTGCATGGTTAATGAACTGAAGATTGAAGCAGTAGTGTCCCTCTGGTTCCATGCCTATAAGTAAACCACTGGATGAGTTGCCATAGTAACGATTAAACAAAGCATGATGCTCATTGGTGCCTAAGCACAAGGTGGTAGGCTCTTCCCAATAGTTGACCTGAAATAATCAGTTACAATTTTTCTAGAAAATATAAAATAGTAAACAAGGTCAAGTAAAACTTGACAGTTTAAAGCCACACACCATGGTTTCACTAGTCACATGGCTTTCAACTCATCATTAAAAATTTTTTTTTTTACAAATTGAATAGGCTCCTAGTGCAATCGTGATCAACCTTCCTAATGCCAAGACCCTTAATACAGTTCCTCATGTTGTGGTGACCCCCAACCACAAAATTATTTTTGTTGCTACTTCATAACTATAGTGCATAGGTGTTTTCCGATGGTTTTAAACGACCCCTGTATAAAGGTTGTTTGACCCCCAAAGGGTTCGTGACACACAGGTTGAGAATCACTGTCCTAGTGGCTTTTTATTTACTCTACTACTTTTATTTACTTTTTACTATTTTCATTTACATTACTATTTTCATTTACTTTTTACTATTTTTATTTATTTTATTATTTTCATTTACTTTATGCTATTTTCAATCAATTTACTATTTTCATTTAATTTACTATTTTCATTTTACTATTTTCATTTACTTTTCTATTTTCATTTACATTTATTTTCATTTACTTTACTATTTTCTTTTAACATACAAAAATTTGTTAACACAAAAATTATTTGAATTTATCTTTTAGTGTTCTTCTTCTATATCTTAAGGGCCCACGATCAATTTAATAAGAGACTTGAAAAAGTAAGGCTATGATAATGTACTAATAGAGCATAAAAGATTATTCATTCTTTTAAGCAGGAAACACTATGAATTTAAAAAAAAATTAGCACTGTATCTATAATTACTGAGAGGTTCAGGAGACAAACTGACCCCATTAATTTGTGATAATGGAAAAACTTTCTTTGATTTTGCTTCCAATATTCATAGAAGAAAATTGCAACACCTTCTAGCTTCTTGATTAGCATAGGCCTACCTGATAAGCAAAGACTGTACCCCTGGCAGCTTCTCGTGTATTAGGTACAGGTATCCAATTGACAATAGCAGCTGTGCCATTCAGAACCTCATATCCACTGTAAGTTGGGGAGACATTGGAAGGCACTGGAGTGTAAAAGAATTTACTGTGAGTTGGGGAGAAATTTAACATCACTGTATTGTAAGAGAACAAACTAGAATAGAGCCTTGGTGTTTTTTCATTAGCTTATTTTGCCATGAAACCTGTTAAAGAGATATTTCTTCAACATAAAATTTATATAACAAATATAATATATACACATCAATGTCAAAGTATCATGTAGACTAGATTAAAAATGTTGGGAGTACAAATAGACTTGCATGTCTTTGGTAGAAAATTTATTTTTATTAATTTTTTGTGAGAAATAAAACATGGATTGGAAATAAAAGCTACAAATTAAAACCTGTATTACCACTGGTTTCTTTAAGAACTATCAACTTACTGTCTTCAGCAGAATAAACTATGAAAATGGTAGAATTTGGGCCACTGCCTCTGTCATTGACAGCTTGAACTTTCACCTCATACTCAGTGTAGTAATACTGTGTACCCACCACTGTGTGGAAGAAAGTATCTCTAAGCTCACCTGACTGTAGAAAAAAAAATTGATTAGTCTTTAAAACACAAATTGGTCCTCCCCAAACTTTAAACCAAAAAAGAAGATGTTATACTTTGATCTTTTTTTTCTTCTCATAGCCACTACAATGGGTTGTTTCACTCTCTCATTTTGATCTATCTACTTGTTTTGTTGAGGCTCCTTGTTTCTGAACCCCTCAGTAAGGTATTTTCCATTATTGCACTGGGACCATCATTTACTATTTAACATTTTGCTACCTATTTCTTTAATAAATCCATCCCAGTACAGCACTGATGTACCTCAGTAAAACAATTTTTGCATATGAACACACAAACCTGATGAAATTTATTTTGTAAATATATACCAGAAACAAATATTTGTAAATAAGTTCAAGGTCATTTCTCACCATCTCCCATTTACGATTGCTATTCTCCTCCTGTTTCAACCTGAAGTACACCACATACCGCAGGTTGGGGCCACCCCACTGACTTCTGGGGAGAGGCTGTAAAATTTAAAAAAAAAAAAAATTATTCAGATGCATATATGAAGCCAAAAAAATAAAAAAAGAATATAAAATATTTCAATATTTGGCAAGTCATTGAAAACCATTTCAATATCTGGCAAATCATTATAAAATTACATTTGTCAAAAATCAAAACAAACTAACAAAGGCTGATATTTAATGATGGGTTGTTCATGTACTTTCCCAGCTGACCTTCATCAACCAGTTTTATAGACTCACATTCCAGGTGATGATCAGCTGACCAACACTTCCTCCCCCTCCTCCAATGTTAGGGGGGCTGAATATTGGGGGTGCCGACATCATATTATACCACTCTGTTGGAGACAATTTGAGAGACTAGTAAAATGTGAATATCCAAACTGATTTGCAGTAATTGACTTATGGTAAAACAATCCCCTCAATTTTACAATGTAAATAAACCCTGACTCTCGTTGCTGGGATTGGACTCTGAACAAATCTATACATTTAAAAAAGGCTAAAAATTGCTTGTATTCAAAAGATTAACAAATAATTGAAATAATACAAATTATTTTTTATATTGAAATTGACTTTTATTTTATTTTTAAAATGTTTCTGGGATTTTGTGTACACACTTTGGCACAGAAAAAAAACAAGTATAAAACTTTATTATACTATTCTTCATTTGTGCCATGCCAACTCTGCTGACATTCAGGGTCTATTACTTTAGGTATACAAATCAAGCTTATGCCTACTTGAATTGCATAGTTAAGTTTATTCTTTCTGGCATATCCTTAACTGTAAAATTAAGATATCTTACTTTGAGACTAAAAAGCAATGTTTGATCACTCACTGTAAGGTCCATTACTTGGGGGCCCATATCCAATTTGGTCATTACCAGCCTTGACTCTGAACTGATATGCTGTGCCTGGAGACAAACCCGTTATGATGTCAAACTTCCTCCAAGCTGGGTACAACTCCATTATAGTGTCTTGAACAGGAACATCTGCATTAATTTAATTTAAATCTTATATGTTGAACTTTCTCTACATCAAGCAGTCTAAGTGTTAAATATTGTAATATGTGTATATCATTATAAAAAATAATCAGTATCAGTACTACAAGACAACTGACATGAAATAAACTTAATTAGGGAATCTATCATATTAAATTCAATGTGAGTAAAATAATACTTTGCTCATTGATAAATACACCAGAGGTCAGCAGCCTTAAACCAGTGGGCTAACACCAGACCAGCCAGTTGGCCTAAACTGTTCAGACAAAAGTGTCCAAGTGTTTTATGTGTTGTAGGCCAGAAATATAATTCTGTGTTGAAAATTCCTGTAGAAGTCTACCAATGTCTACCTACTCTCACTCATTAATTATTTTAGAAAAAACAAAACAACTCATGTAACATCATTCCAGCACCTTGCAACCCTCTATTTAGGTCCATACAAAAAAAAAAATAAAAAATATGTAACTAAGTAAGATCAAATTAACTCATAGAAGATCACCCAAAGAAAACATTTTCACTGACTCTAGGCTGTAGGACATCCATTTTTGATATCTATCACCAAAAAAATTAAAATGGTGAGTATTAAATACAAAGTTAGAGTAAAAAATGTTAATAGCACTATTTTTCCCTTAGTGTTGTAGTCAAGAGAAAATCCAGTAACACACCTGCTTGTAACAAATTCCATTCATCCTCATAGATGGACAAATATTCAATGGTGTATTTATTGACAGGATAACCATTGACCTCTCCATCTTGCCACCACAGGGCAACATTCTTATAATTTTGTGGTTCAAGGTCATTGGCTTGTTTGACATGCACACCCATGGGCTCACCAGGTGGACCTTTGTGACAGGAATTAAGAAAAATGTTGTCACATGGGAAATATTTAGAAATGTTGAATAATATAAATTAAATTATTATTAAATTTTTTGGAAAATGTAATTAAATTCAGTTTTAACAAAATACAATTACAAACAAAAATCAATTTTAATAGCTCCCAGTCTATCCCTTGATAAAGTTGTAAAAGAGATGGGAAAGTGTTGAGAAGAGTTACAGAAGATTACTGGATACTAAGTTGTTTGGAAAAAAAAATGTTAATGGCCTATGCTCCACTAGGAGTTGAAAAAAGACATAAAGAAGATTCCCATGATTAGAAGTAAAATAACAGAAACTGAAGGTCTAATAGAAATTTTTACATTTTACAGTCAAAGCATCCTGGTAAGTATCAAGAAAGATGGTGGGTATAATCTAAATGGACTTTCTTTTCTATTTATTGCACTAAAAGTTAATTCCATTAGTCAAAGTAGTAACATTTATTTACATCACTTGTTATTTGGAGAAGGATTTTAATATTGTTGTACTTTTCTTTAGACATTTGTAATCAAATAAATATTGACTCTACTTGTTTATACCTGAGTTTGATTTTTTATGTTTCAAAATGTAAGAAAATGTGATAGAAAAATAATATCTTTTTATATTGTGTACATGGAAAGTTAACATATTATTATACAAATGTTGATTATTTTATATCAAAACATTGGGAAGGTTGTTTTAGAATAGCTGAAATGAAGTTATATAAAGATGAATTTGATCTATAAGTTAAAATTTCATACCCCTGACTGTGACGTAGGCGCTGGCTGAGATTGACCCTGATACTGTAGAGACAACACAGGTGTACATCCCGGCATGTCTGAACTGGGCAGCCATTATGTATAACATTCCTGACTCTAGGTTGTAGGCAAACGGCTGAGTAGTTGGGCAGAAATTAAATAAAAAAAAAAAACTGTTCATGACATGAAATTTCTTATTTTTGTCAGTGAAATGAGTTGACAGTGACAACTGATTGTTAGTGACTCACGAACGGTGGGTTGAGGTAATGCAATGCCTCCCCCGGAGAGGAAGTAAAACCGTTTAGACCCATGTCCGCACAACTCCTAGGAACGGTGGGAGAAAGTTAAGCTTGTGACTACTCCCGGAGTGGAAGGAAAACGGTGCCACACCAAGGAACGTACGGCTCCCTGGGCGGTGGGGGTGGCAACGCAAGTCATCTCCGGAGAGTAAGCAAAGTCGTTCCAACCCTAATGTCCTGACCGAAAGACTCAATGGGCAAGGGGGGCTGTGATGCAAAACTGTCCCCTCATGAGTGGAAGAAACCTGCCCAAAACCCTGTTACTCAAGGCCGAGTTGCATGGCCGGAGTCCCCAGGGACTACTAGGCTATGTTCCATGGCCAGAGGTCCTTAGAGATGGAATCTCGACCTCCGAGTATTGATCTTTATTAGTAAGTTAAATTAAGGGAAATAATCTGCTTAATGTAAAATGTTAAATTAAATTGAAACTATTACAAAACCATAATAATAATTGTGACTATTTGTGACAACTGTTCAAAATGTAATTTGATAGAGCCTTTTATGAGTTTGCCACTCACCATAGAGTAATGAGCCCTTTCAAATCCGCTGAGGCTGAAATCAATGGCGTGAGAGTACAACAGCCATGAATATGTCACTTCCATCTTATTTCTGTCATAAGAAGCCTTGCAAGGTAAGACTGCTGTAGAGTTTTGCTCAACTTCTAAATCTGTTGGCCTATCAGCAAACACTGTCTTTCCTAGAACGGTAATTTAAGTATTTGTTTTCAAAGATGGAATATGTCTGTATCTTATTTGAACACACTGCAGATTTGTTTACTGCTTTCAAGTTATAATCAGCATACATTGAACGTTCAGTTAAAAAAAATATAAAAAAAAATTACTCTATAAAATAATGAGAAGAATCACAAAAGGAAAATTTCAAGCCCCAGAGGGATGCCATTATCATGATAATAATGACGTACAAAAAAAAATAAACATAATGATAAATTTACTACTTTCTTTATTCTAAATTCTAATCAATTTATCCTCTTTGAGTTAACAAATATTGTATTTCTGAAGAAAAATTTTTTTTTTTTGGAACTATTTACTTAAGATAATATACTGATAATGATTGATATGGTCTTGAACCAACCTTGTACAGTGAGCAAGCAGCTGGACCGTGCCTCACCCAGGTCATTGGTAGCCACACAAGTGTAGGTGCCTGAGTCAGACTGAGACAGTGATGTTAACTCTAGAGCCCCGCTAGGGAGCACACGACCCACTTGAACACCATTTTTTAACCATGCGATGTCTGCCCGCGGGGCTGCCTGGGGCCTGCACGCTACGGTCACATTCCCGCCCTCTGCTGCCTGTTTGGTTGTTTCAACAGGACTGCTGAGAAATGTTGGCGCTAAAGCTGAAAGTTAAAATTATTTTTGTATACTTTGCAATTTTATTTTAATTTAGTAAGGTGTTCTTTTTCTAAAGTTTAAATAGTACTCGTTCTTTCCTTCTTCCTTCCTCTTTATAAGTAATTTCAAACATGCATCTGAGAATATTTTTTTTTTTCGCTGTTCTGATTGAAAAGTAAATATTATTAGAAGGCTGTATTAGGATAATAAGGTGAGAGAATCAATTATTTTCCACCATAGCCAGGGACTGTGACACAAGGACAAAATTTATTATTTTTTTTTTTGTTTTCAAGCTCTTGTCCCCAATTTGTGAAAATATTTTAAAATATGTTACTGATTCTGTGCCCAAGGGAGAGCAATCAAACTGACCTACTTACAAAGAGCCCTTAGCTGTGCACTAGACCTGGCCAGACCATAGGTGTTGGTGGCCTCACATTGGTACATGCCGTTATGTTTGCTGGCCTCGACCTTGTCAATGGTCAATATATTCCTATTCACCTGCATGGATCCAATAGAAAAAAAAATTAATAGAATTTAGTTTTTTAGACAATAAAAGATTTTTTCTAGTGCTGACTGATCCATGAAAATATTGATTAAATTTAAATATATTTATTTTTACTTTCAGTTGTTTTAGTAGACTTATACTGTTAGCTCATTTAGGTTTTAAAAACAGTCAAGACAAGTAATAACTGCTTTCAAAACTAAAATATGTAAGTGAAATGAACAAAAATAACCCTTAAAAATTTAAAGAAAACTTATGTAGAGCAATTATCTTTGGTATAAAAATAATTGTTGAAAAAGTAGCTCAACTTAAGTGGAGCATTCAGCTGGTTTTTTCTCCTATTAATTAAGCCTGCTGCTTGCTTCATGTAAATAACCAGTGAAACAAGTCATCCGAAAATATTATTGTTTCAGGTTGACTGTAGAGCCGTCGATTCACTTACCTTCACACCTATTCCTGCATCAGTTGCTAAGATTTTACCATTTTTATACCATTGGTATACTGGTTTGGGGACGCCTATGGCATTACAAGTCCACTGAAAGCTTCGTCCCTCGTCCACATGTTGGCTATGTAGGGGGTAAGGAAAGTGCGGAAGAGCTGGAAAAAAACCCAATAATTTCATTATGAATAATGTTTAACCAGAGGCATAGCTAATGGGACAGAGGGAGAGATGTCCTTAAGTGCCAGAATGGGTGTCCATGGTATTTTATTGATGAAAATAATGTATTTCAGAGTCAAGGGGTCGTAAAAACGAATATTGTACCAAACACTTTTGCTACACCACCGCCTTTAACTTAGGCCATAACTGTTCATAATAATTAAATGGTTTGATATAATTGTATATTATTACTAAAAGGGTTTTTGCAAATGTGCTCTTGAACCCTATACAGAATTTTTTTAATTTGCTTTTATTAGCAGTTACAGCTGGTAATATTATTCAATGCCTCACATATTTAAAAAAAAATGTTTTGACCAACTGAAGATGACTGTTAGTCTGAAGATTCTTTGCTTTATTTTGTTTATATTAAAGCTTCACTCTACTGGTTTATACCTACTCTCTACCCAAATGGTTTACACCTACTCTCAACCCAACTGGTTTACACCTACTCTCAACCCAACTGGTTTACACCTACTCTCAACCCAACTGGTTTACACCTACTCTTATCCAACTGGTTTACACCTACTCTCTACCAAACTGGTTTACACTTACTCTCTACCAAACTGGTTTACACCTACTCTCTACCAAACTGGTTTACACCTACTCTCTACCAAACTGGTTTACACCTACTCTCTACCAAACTGGTTTACACCTACTCTCTACCAAACTGGTTTACACCTACTCTTTACCAAACTGGTTTACACCTACTCTCTACCCAACTGGTTTATTTGTTTTGTGTCACAAGAAATGACTAAAACTGATTAATTTTTTTTTTTAAAATCTCTAGACACCATTTCTAAGATGTGCCTGGCCCAGTGGCATCTCTTTTACAATACCATGTTCAATGACTTCTCTTTTACAATGTCATGTTCAATCACATCTCTTACTCAGAGAAGATAAGCATTTAAAACCAATTGATCTCATCCATTCATTAAACTAATGTATCCATTTTTTCATCCATTCATTAAAATCATATATCCATTGATCTCATCTATCCATTGATTTTTAGTATCCATTAATCTACCCATATATCTGATCTATCCCTTGATCTGATCTATCCATTGATCACATGGATCTATTGAACTCATCTATTCATTGATCTCATTCATTCATTCATTAAACTCATCTATCCACTGTTGTCATCTAGCAATTGATTTGTTATGAACATCCAATTACCATTAAGTTGCAGAAAAACAGTTTTGTTGGCATAGTTTCTCTCATTCCTGACAACACATGTGTATGTGCCGGTGTCCTCAAGCCTGGCCGATGGCAGCACCAACACACGATTGTGATCTCTCAGATAGGCCCTGGGGTGGAGGGGACCATCTTCTCTAACCCATGAATAGTGCAGTGGGAGTCTGGAGAGAGAAAAACAAGTCCTGATTGAAAAACATGGCATTAGAAATCTGTGATACATACATTATATGTATTTAACGATGGACTAACAAAAATTGAGATAACTTGTATGAAATTATTAATTATCTTAGATCATGGTATACATACATTCATAAGGCTACAATGTTTCAATAGTTACATATTGATGTGCTTAGGTGGCAATGCATTGTTTATTTTTGACTTTGGAATCAAATATCTTAACTGAGCAAACTAATGTAATTACTCAACTGACCACACTAAACTAATCTCTCAACTGATCATACTGATCTAATCATTCAACTGACCACACTAATCTAACCATTCAGCTGACCACACTGATCTAATCACTCATTTTACCACACTGATCTAATCACTCAACTGACCACACTGATCTAAAATCTTAACTGAACACACTGATCTAAAATCTTAACTGACCACACTAATCTCATATCTTAACTGACCACAATAATCTAATATCTTAACTGACAAGTATTATGATGCATTCTTTATTGCAATACAAAAATATATACTTATCTTACATGTGCAACATATCATAAGCCCCTACAATTAAGCCCTACCTTTAAAATGCAAGTGATCATAATCCCCTATCACTAGGCCTTACCTTCCGTATGCAAGACATTCTATCTCCACATCATCCCCTGCCATTGGGACAGTAGGAAAGTACTGTGGAAACTTGTTCTGAATGTCTGGTCCATATGTGTTAGCATCTTGATAAAGATATAATAAAACACATTATTTCCATATGTGTTAGTAACTTGATAAAGACATAATTGAACACAGTATGTCCATATGGATTAGAATATGGACAAGGACACAGTTAAACACATTTAAGGACTGTCACTGACACATTCAAAAACTTTGAGCAAGAAGTTTCAGTCTATTGATAATGTATATATGTTATGATGTAACATAGTAATGTATATAATTTATAATGTAACTTTGTAATGTATATAATTTATAATGTAACTTAGTAATGTAAATATTTTATTATATAACATAATAATGTATATATTTTATAATGTAACATAATAATGTATATATTTTATAATGTAACAGTAATGTATATATTTTATAATGCATCATAATAATGTATAGGCCTACATTTTATAATGTAACTTAGTAATGTATATATTTTATAATGTAACATAATAATGAGTATATTTTATAATGAAATATAATAATGTATATATTTTATAATGTGACATAGTAATGTATTTATTTTATAATGTAACATGCTAATGTATATATTTTATAATGAAATATAATAATGTATGTATTTTATAATGTAATATAATAATGTATATATTTTTTAATGTAACATAGTAATTTATATATTTTATAATGTAACATAATAATGTATATAGTATATATTTTATAATGTAACATAATAACAAACATCAAGACCAAGATAAAAATCAGTCGTACTCACTTTCTCCCCTAACTCTCAGATTAATCCCTAATGATGTCCGGGAGGGTGGCTGTGTTCCGGTCAACTCTTGACCAGCTTGAGGGGCCATGAATATAACACAGAAGTATTCATCTCTAGTTTAAAGAAATGTTTATTTCACTAACATTTGAGAAATAAGTCAATGCTATTTACACATGTTCCTGTAGTCACATCACGAAAACCTGATCAAAATCCATGTAATAATATACATAAGATTATGTCTTAGAAGCGTAGAATAGAATTACGAGTTTACTATTTCTAATAGATTCCCTTTAAATTGATTTAATTTTTTTTTAGTCTAAGGGCAACGATAAATTAAAATATAATTGTCATGAGTTATATCCCATGTCTGCCTAGTAAAACTGTATGTAAAACAAAAATCCATTTGAAATTAATTATAATTAAATTAATTGTTTAAAAAATGCATAGCAAGACGATTCCAAACCGTCTAACTCACTAAAAATAAATTATTTGTTAGAACTACTTAGTGGCCTACTCACTGGTCAGCAGCTTGAACTTCTGAAATGTACAGCTTGCCATTCCTTGAGAGAAAGAACTGAGGGTTGAACTCTGACCTGATGAAGTTGTTATTGGATTTGTACCAGTTGTACCTGAGGTCTAAGGTCAAAGGGGAATTTCATTCGTTTGTAAACATTAATTTTTAAGCAATGTTATTTAATGTTTTTATTGGTTTAACTTGTTCAATTCACTTGATAAATATCATTTTAAAAAAAATGTTTATTTTGAATGGAAAGGTATCACAAAGCTAATTTAGATGTTCATGAATTTCGATTAAATGCCAAGTATTTAGACCCACCTGTGTTGTGGACAGGAACTTGACATGTGATCTCAATCCCCATGTACATGACTGCATCCACCTGGCTTGGCTTGACATTCGGAAACTGGCCAATATCTGGACGGTAAAATTGTATACATAACAGCAGACTATAACATGTATTATAAATATTTTCAACATACAGTACAACGTCGATTATCCGAGCTAATTTAGGCGGCGTGGCTTAGATAACCTATTCTTTCGCATAGCCGTGCGTTCCCACGGAGTTCCAGCAAAGTGTTTGAGGGTCAACTGGTGACTGACATATTCCGGCGATGACTAGATATTATTGGTTGAAAGAAGGTCGTTTTCTAAGATAGATGATTGGAGCTTAGAGTAAGATCTAAGGTAAACTTGTCTTTTCAGGCGTGTATTCTGTGAAAATATGTATGACATTAATACATTTTCAGATCTCATTATCCAAGTCATTTTTTTTGTTCATGTTCATTTTGTATGAAGTATATTGTATGAAGTTCATTTTGTATAAATTGTGTGACAGGATCAAACTGATTTTCCAGTGATTCTACACAAATTCCATGCCACACACCAGTGCTCCATGCCATATACACCAGTGTTCCGTGCCATACTCCAGTGCTCCGTGCCATACACCAGTGCTCCGCGCCATACACCAGTGCTCCGCGCCATACACAAGTGCTCAGTGCCATACACCAGTGCTCCGTGCCATACACCAGTGCTCCGCGCCATACACCAGTGCTCAGTGCCATACATCAGTGCTCAACGCCATACACCAGTGCTCCGCACCATACACCAGTGCTCCGCACCATACGCCAGTGCTCCGTGCCATACACCAGTGCTCCGTGCCATACACCAGTGCTCCGCGCCATACATCAGTGCTCCATGCCATACTCCAGTGCTCCGTGCCATACTCCAGTGCTCCGTGCCATACACCAGTGCTCCGTGCCATACACCAGTGCTCACCGCGCCATACATCAGTGCTCCATGCCATACTCCAGTGCTCCGTGCCATACTCCAGTGCTCCGTGCCATACACCAGTGCTCCGTGCCATACTCCAGTGCTCCGTGCCATACTCCAGTACTCCGTGCCATACACCAGTGCTCCGTGCCACACACCAGTGCTCTGCGCCATACATCAGTGCTCCTAGCCATACACCAGTGCTCCATGCCATACTCCATTGCTCCGCGCCATACACCAGTGCTCCATGCCATATACACCAGTGTTCCGTGCCATACTCCAGTGTTCCGTGCCATACTCCAGTGTTCCGTGCCATACTCCAGTGCTCCATGCCATACATCAGTGCTCCGCGCCATACATCAGTGCTCAGCGCCATACACCAGTGCTCCGCGCCATACACCCGTGCTCAGTGCCATACACCAGTGCTCCGTGCCATACACCAGTGCTCCGCGCCATACACCAGTGCTCCGCGCCATACACCAGTGCTCCGTGCCATACACCAGTGCTCACTGCCATACACCAGTGCTCCATGCCATACATCAGTGCTCCGCGCCATACATCAGTGCTCAGCGCCATACACCAGTGCTCCGCGCCATACACCCGTGCTCCGTGCCATACACCAGTGCTCCGTGCCATACACCAGTGCTCCGCGCCATACACCAGTGCTCAGTGCCATACACCAGTGCTCCGCGCCATACACCAGTGCTCATTGCCATACACCAGTGCTCAGTGCCATACACCAGTGCTCCGTGCCATACACCAGTGCTCCGCGCCATTAACCAGTGCCCCGCGCCATACACCAGTGCTCCGTGCCATACACCAGTGCTCCGTGCGAATCACATTGCCAACGATAATAATGATATGAAAGCAACGGACAGGAGCACTTCCACAAGCTGGCGTTTGGGATAAAAGACTTTCGGATATCATTGTGTATACTCATAACCATACATGACATATAAATATGTGCATATAATGTATATTGTATACTCACAGCCATACGATACATGAATTGGGTTTGACAGCACACTTCCAAGTTTGTTGCTAGCCTCGCATGTATATGTCCCTGTATCCTGGACTTGGTCAGGCTGTGAAACATATTAAACCAATAGGTCATACATTTTCATGGAAGCTCTACCAGGCAATCACACCGTCCATCGCAAGTGTTCATACCGCCTTTGTTTAAAATGTGAACTTTAAGGGTGGGGGGGGGGAGAGAGCAACGGTCTTATTCGATCACTTGATTGGACGAAGGTCAATACAATTTAGTATTCAAAAATAGCTTTAACATTAGTTAAGAATAAAATATGTCGCCCTGCTGGTTCAAGTGTTCTAGAAACATGTCGCTGAGATCAAGGGAATAATAATACAAATGTTCTTGTGACAATCTATAAACAAACGACTTAAATCAACACTAGGAAGTTGACTTACGTTTGTGATGGTCAGGCGGCCATTGTTCAGGGAGAGGCGAGGATTGGCGGCGGGATCAACTGCTTGATCTCGAACTCTGTGGATGAAGATGACCACATGGGCGTTATGGGAAGAAAAGAAGAATTTATGGTTTTAAAATTAGAAATATTGTAGTATAAATAATTCTTTAGATTGACTAATATTGACGGGCCAGTGTCATTTACACACGGTACACATGAAGACTAGGATGTGTGTTAAATAACAACTCTTAGGTCATTATACGCCAGAGTTTTAAAAAAAAATTATTCTATGTATGCAGATGCTTTAGCGGTCTCATAGCTATGCCGGAATTTGAATATGTTTTGTAGCTTTTCTAGTAGTTCAAGTATAATTTGAAATCTTGTCTGGTACATAATTTATAGCTTCAAATCACATTGACTAACTGTGAAATGGGTTAGCCTCAGATGATAATGTCAAGAGATATTATTATGTAAAAATGAAGTATCAACTTTCTCTAAAATGTAACAAAGCCAGTGGCGTAGCTAGAGGGATTACGGGGGGGGGGGTTGCGGACCGCACCGGGTGACACCAACCCTAGCTACGCCACTGATTACAAAGCTTTACATTTGCGAATAAACTTTCAAAACATTATTATTAGACTGTGAATTTAAAAAAAAATAATAATTAAACCCCCAAGGACCACTGTCATCATGCGATCCCCGAATTCAAAGAACACTGTGTCGCCGGACTGGCTAGTGATGTTGGGGCCTGTTTCCCACATGGAAGGATCCGTTAAGTTTGTGCCGTAGGCTGGTGGTGGAATACATCACGTGATCATGGCATGACGCAGAGATTAAGGGTGAGCCGATATAGACAATGTAGATTAATCTCAAAAAACAATACAAGCAGTGGATTAGTGGCTATCGGGGCCGGCAGAGATTTGTTTTTTGGCCCTCCCCCAAGAAAATCTCTGCAGTTGGCCGAAAATACCACCTCTCAAAATTTAGAAAAAAAGTGGCACCTTGGCTCCCCCGTAGACCAGGATCAAAAAGTAAACAATTTCATCTAGTAGTAAGCATGATG